AGCAACACGGCTGGGAACCGGGCCCAGCGTCCCTTATCAGAATACAAAAATGAGCTACCGGGGCCATTACCCGGCTTCGGCTAAGAACAATTGAAGAAAAAGGAAAACTCGGACGCATTCAGAAGATGTGTCAACAAGCATCCCAACCATGAATGAGATAGGTAAACCTATTCAATCCACCTTCTGTTTTCAGCACGAACCGAAGCTCTTCCAGGCCACATGCTCCCATCAGGCTAGGTTACAGAGTTGCACCACCTTGCTCCAGCAGCGGCCAGCATTGCTTCAATTACGATCCCCGATGATCACTGAGACTGCCCCCGCAAACAGCCCCCCAGATCTCTCTACCAGGCCTCACGCCCCCACTAAGCTAGGTCACAGAGTTGCGCCACCTGGCTCCGGCTCCGGCCAGCGTTGCTCCAGCATCGGTCTTCGAGGGCCACCAAATTTTCGACCACCCTACGCAGGATCACAAATGAATTGCCAGATATCACCTATTCCTACAACCTCCTCGAGAGGCGAAACAAGTCAAATTTAGAAAGAATTTAGAAAAAACTTCAGTCCCACAGAACAGTCATGCATCCATCATCGAAGGGAAGAACATAGACTGATCCGAGTGAAGTTAGCGGCTAGTGGCCGGTACCCGCCGAAATTTCAGTGCCAATCGCATCCACCACCCACTTCCTCCATCCCGATCACCTCCGTCCTCCCCAACTCCATCCTCGTGAAGAACTTCAGAGAGCCTCTTCTCCGCAGGGGCCGAGCCCCATCATCACCCTGACATTCTTTGCCCCCACAAGAATCCCAGTCTCCATCCTCAAGGTGGTGAACTAGCACTACCCAATGCCAATCGCGCCAGAGTTCACTCTCACCAGCCTGTACCCATCAGACAGCTTAAACTACCCGACGCCAATCGCATCTGATAAGAGCCCCCCCTAGCCGGTACCCATCGAGCAGCCCTATTTCCTCCCCGTCTCGTCCTTGTAAAGAATCATTTGATGCCCCTGGCCCCTTACTTCAAAGCAGGTCCCCAAAAGCTCCACAAAATGCTCCACTAGGGTTTTTTTTTAACAGAATTTGATATGCCTGGGCCATTACCCGGCTTAGCTACAAAACGACTTCTGACGACTTATGACGGCTTCAACTTTGGACGAACCTCTGACAAAAGTAGGGCAAAAATTGGAAACCAAGCAAGCCCTGAAACAGTCGACCTGAAAAATCCCACGTCCATCATCGAAGGGAAGGACCTAATTTGCCTTCCTAACTCCGTCCTCGTAAAGAGCCCAGAGAGTCTTATCACAATGGGGAGCAGACACCATCATCACCCTGAAATTCCTTGCCCCCACAAGAATTTTAGTCTCCATCCTCAAGGGGGTGAACAACACTGCCCAACGCCAATCGCGCTAAAGTTCGCCCTCAACAGCTAGTACCCATTGGACAGCCTGACTACCCAACGCCAATCGCATCTGTCAGGGGGTCCCCCTAGCCGGTACGTTGAACAACCATATTTCATCCCCTCTTCATCCTTGCAAAAAAATCCTTTGATGCCTTCTGCCCCCTACTTCAAAACAAAAAAACCCTAGGCCCTACGAGATGTTCCATTAGACCATCCCATGAACCCCCTGTTCAAAATTCTGACGAGAATCTAACGAATTGAATTAGGTCAAATTAGAAAAAATTGTTGGAATTCAATTACGAAAAATAAAAATTAGATTTATGTAAGGTATGCTATTGAAAAAAAAGATACGAAGAAATGCGAATCTACTAGATTTAGGTATTCAACAATGACGTTTAGAATAAAATTTTGAACCTTCGCTATGATTAAGACCTATTCGGGAAATTTTGAGAAGAGAATCAAGGAT